AAGGATGAAATAAAAATACCTCCTGTAAAATTTGCCTTTTGTCGCTTACGAGAAAATCGAAATTAAGGCTCAATATGTATGTGCGTTAAGCTGCGATTGTGTAGTGGTCGTTAAGTGCCCAAGTACACATTCGCATTCGCAAAATATTCGTATCATTTGATGCGAATGCGAATGTGTAAAATGGTGCGAATCATTCGCATAACGAATTCGAATGCAAATATTGGCAATTTCCCTGACGTGCACACATACCATAAAATAAAGGGGATTGCATAAAAAAATGCAAATGAGTCATTAACATACATACATAAGTAAAATGGATCTTCCTTGCGTAAGTCAATTGTAAACAAAGTACATTTACATTAGTACATTCTTATCGGCCTACATACATATATGTATAAAGAAAAATATTAATGTTTAGATGGACATTTCACACATTTCACAAGTGAAACGAATTTATACGAGGTTATATTTGATTTATCAATTTTATTTATTTAAAGCCTGAAAATACATTTGATGCACACAAAATCGCCACATGTTGTTGCATGGAAATTTACTCGCCATAGATAGTACTCTATTCAATTTCTGTCTTCATATCATTCTCCCTCCAATCAGACTTATTCTATTTTTATAACTACTTAAATTCATTTTGCCGTGGCAAAACCAACGCGATCATTACCCATGTCGAATTCAGTATAGTATTTACCAATGAATACATCTCCTAGAATCCATAGTGGACCATTTGGTGGTGGTATATCCATGCCCATAAAACCGGATAAGCAAATAGTTTTGCCCATTTGCGCGATACGCAATATATAATCTTTGCCTTCTAGCTCGAACGTTTTTCCGGCCAATACAAATTTAATTACTGGAAGTTTAGGTATCATATCACACGAAACCATATACTGTCCACCCATTATAGGTGTTCCTCCTATAGCTTGATTAATAGCAGTGGTTTCCTGTGTGGGCCCAGCAATTAATGAGGTACCTGTATCGGCGATAACTTGGCATCCTCCTTTGCAAAGCTGCAAATCGCCAATTGAAGCGGAGTCCATCTTAATTTGCCAATATGCTTTGCGGGTTACAGGAAGATAGGTAAAGTCTCCGACATAATGCTCTGGATCTGACCCACCAAATATGATTTCACCTCCTTCAGGTGCAGCAGGATTACGGTTAAGATAAAAGGAAAATATTGGTGCCGAGATAAGACCCTGTTCATACATGCTGTAGAATGGGGGTTTAACTCCATCCACAGATATCGAATTGTAAGCCAAGCCAAGAATACCGTCGAATTTCGCTGCAACAAATACTAGTCCGGGTTCGCTCATAGCTTCGGCAAAAATTTGGTTTTTAATATTCAGTCCACCGATATTTACAGTGTCAGATGATAAATATCCAGACAAGCTACCAGAACCGTAGTGTATGGCAAATTCGGTGCCATTTTTTTTCGTATGTTTTAGATTTTGTAGCATCGTACTTGTTGTGCATTAAGCAGGCGATGTTCGTTAAATGGCATTTCTTCGATGGTACCCAGAGGTTTGAGGAACCTGTATCAAAAACTACTTTGAAGCTCTGCGGGGGAGTTCCAATAGATATTGGGCCATAGTATTGCGCATCTAGGTAATTGGAAAGCGGTTCAGGAGCTACACCACCATTTGCATATTTAATACGTAATTGATGCAACTCCGTGCCGACATCTGAAAAATGGTGCCTGGCTGTTTTGAAACGCTTGAGTGGGACCCGAAGCAGCTCAGAATTACAGCCGCAAACAACGGCAGCTACAATCAACAGTATTTTAAACATCTTTAACGTTTACCTAAAATTTTACGCAATTAAACAATCATACATAAAATTTTAATTGAAATATAAGAATGTGATTTGATTATACATTTTTTAGTTTACTAACCGCAGACAATTTCCACTTGTTTGCAAGTTTCCTTTAAGTGAAGTGAATAATACGTTGCTTTTAATATAACTAAATGGAAAAAATTACTGGAAATTGCAAATCTTCTGAAAAACTGATAATGACGAAGCATCAGTGCACAAAGGCGATGTAAAAACAACAAAAGTAGTGATGTTTTCTTTTTCGGTACCCGATACATTACATTACACCTTCGTCATTATATGCATTTCAAGACTTATCCCAACAGAGAAATATTATTTTATCAGTTATAACCTTAGTCGATCCAAGGTTCAATAAAAATGCTTTGACCTTATAACCTTAGTCGATCCAAGGTTCAAGAAAAATGCTTTGACGGATGAAGAAGCCTTTCAGGTGGGTGGTTTTGTAAACAGTTAACGACAAGTTTCGGATCAATTTCGCACTTGTTGGCGTAAACATATTTCATATCATACGTCAACAAAACCGATACCGATTCGAAAATTGTCGCTAACGGGTTAGAGAATCTGCTCCAGGCATACAAAAATGATATCGTCCGATTCAACTGGAACAAAAGTGCTTCAAACAAGTAAGAGTTTCTCTGCATTATGCGAATAGACATATATACATCCTTATTTTGAATCAGTATTAAAAGCTCTATTGGCTCCTACATTCGGGTTTTGATAGGCGAGTCTCCCTGAACCGTTTTTTCCATATTTTTTGCCTATGTGCGTTTTTATTCGAAACCTAAATGTTTCGGTACCGAGTATCGAGAGTACTGGATACTTTTTAAATCGGTACCGAATTTCGATCTTTACTTAAAAGTATTGACTCAGCACATCACTACAGAAAAGATTTTGTAGTCGCGTAATAAAGTGGTGTCATATGTGGCAATGCAATATATTTCGAAAGGATGTCAAATTGAGAAATTTCTGAAAGCACTTACAGTCACACCTTACAATAAAAGCGAGGTTTACACTATCCAACATGTGCGACAACATAAGCTCTGATCCAATACTTTTCGTGAAAAATCCTGTAAAACTGTCAAATAGCAAAATTACTCTCTGAAGTGAGAGTAAAAAGTGAGTAACAACAAAAAGTACGGGAACAAAAAACCATTTTTTCTGTAAAAACGTCAACCAGTGATTGCCTGACACTTTTCATGATTTTACCAGAAGAAAAAGTTCGGGTAAAATCTTGCAACTTCATTATCTACACAACTCTCCAAAAGTCGCTCTCATTTACAGGATTTTGGAGGATTGTTGAGTACGGGAACATTTTTCCTGCAACTTCGTGTAAAATCCTGTAAGTTCATGGAGTACTGGATCAGAGCTATAGTGTTATGGCTACCGATATTTGATCGTGTAAACGCTTAAACAACCGCTCCACACACCCTGGCGGATTTTACCATAAACATGAAAAAAGAATAGTTTCATCAAAATTTTAAGCTTTTTAATTCGAAATTATATAAACATTTTTTGTATGCAGTTTTATAGCATTTAAATTTTAGTATAATTCAGTGCAAGCTTGTAGTTGCTAATAGCCTATTTCCACCAAAGGCTTAACTGCAGTTAAGAGCTCAGAGAAGTTCAAATTATTCCAACATGGAGTCATCGGCAAGATTTTTTCCTTAAGTTTTGCTTTTTTCCTTTCGTTTTCTTCTGCCTAATAGGTGGAATTACCCCCTTCGAGTTGTTATCTTCGTTTTCAAACGGCATAAACTGCAGTTAAGGCTTGGTGGAAATCAATTATAGTTTACTGCCCATCTCCACAGGATAAAGTTTATATCTTGATACATATGTTAGAATATAAATATCTAATTGAGATCGCCCATTGCTCGCAGAGATTACATTTGCTTTAATGAGAAAAAGTGGCAACATTGCTTTTTCGCGTATACAGTGGCTAGCTGCGTTTCAGTGAGCGCCGATGGAGATTTCATTTATTATTTTAGATTATTTGGATAAAGAAAAGTTACGCAAATTCAACATCGATGTGATGCTGATAGAAATCTGGATCGATTTCGCGTAAATGTACATTTGCTAAATGCGATAGCATGAACGCTCTTCGAAAACACATGTTCGAAAGTGCTAAATGTTGCATTTTAAATGCAGCAAAAACTCTGCGTTATAGCGAATTTACATGAGGCGATATTTCAGGTGATTTTTAGTTGCCTTTCAACTAATCGGTTGCAGTGATGTTGGTCGGCTGCCTGCTTTCGTTCAACTTTTGGTTCAACTAATCGCCTGTGAAAGTTGAATCATGTAAATTCCCTATTAACAACTTCACAGGCAAGAAAAAAATAACCAAAATGGGTTAAAAGAACAAAACGGCAACACTGCCGAGAACTTTGGTTTGGTACGAACTTACATATAGGTGTCGCCTTCATCAGTTTTAAATATTGGTACTACTGCTTGATAAATAAATCGTCGACAAATGGCGCTGCGGAAGCGTTCATTTCATTTTGGATTTGCTTCCAGTCAACATGTGCCTTGGATTCTCCGTGAGCGGGTTTTATAATTTTAAGAAAATCTTAAGCAAAAAATGGTGAGTTCTTAAAAGAAATATTTTGTAATTTGAATTTTTATGATGTTTATGT